TCAGTCGTCATCTCATTTGTTACATCTTTCTTATCCACGTCATCCTTCACACAATCCATCCATCTTTTCTTAGGTCTACCTCACACATCCCTCCACATATATCTAACACTAGCTTTTGCCGCGACTCCGTCCGCGTGGAATAGTGACTTCCGCCAGATTTTTGGTTCTTCCCACATAGTTCCCGTTCTTGCGGGGTATTCGGAATGGTTATTTGAATAAAGATTAATATTATTATGTTGATACAACTTAAGCAAATTATTTCGACCAAATTAGGTACCATAAAAACGGTTTTTGTGAGTTACTCTTAAAAGATAGACATAAACTGTCGCGGACTGTTTTTTAAATCATTAAAAGAGCTATTATTCTTTAATACATATTTTTTGTGTATCTTTAACCGTTTTCATGGCGCACGCAACGGAAGGCTTCAAAGATGAAATAATTTCTCCCGTTTTTTACACATTTACCACTATATCTTTGCTCTTATTGGTCGTAGCGTGATGTTATATAGCCCACAGCCTTCCTCGATAATCGGACTATCCAACACAAAAAGAATTATTCAATTCGAACCAGTAGTTTTGGAGATTAGCGCTTTCAAACAAACAAACAAACTCTTCAGCTTTATAATATTAGTATAGATTCTTCTTGTTATATGACAATCATCCCCTCGCATAATATGTCCATACCACGCTAATGTATTATTATGAACGACTATATCATATATTTCTTATTAATAACACGATTAAAGAAAACCTATAAATTTGTTTTTTTAAATCTTTATAATTGCCTTCGGTCATAAGAGTGGATGCGATTTCGTTTAAACGATCCCCGATTGAAAAACAAAATATTTATCCCGGAACAGAGAATGAAGTACATTTTTCTTTACGTATTATATAAATACTAGCTTTCCGCCCGCAGCTTCGCCGCGTGGAGTTCGGTTATATCGCGTTTCCAAGAGAACCTTTCAAAAGTCTGGGATAAAAACTATCCTATGTTCTTTCTCAAGGTCAACTCTATCTCTGTACCGAATTTCATTAAAATCAGTTCAGTGGTTTAGGCGTGAAAGCGTAGCAGACAGACAGACAGACAGACAGACAGAGTTACTTTCGCATTTATAATATTAGTAGGGATTGATTTAAGTTGTAATTTAATTTTTCTATACGATACGATTATAATCACTGATTAATGCATTACCAAAGAGGATTGATGTCAGCCAGGCGGCCGCTCGTAAAAACAAATAGCCAAAACTATTCACAACATGTAACGCAGACCCTGGCTAAAGCTGGGAAATTGACAGGTAGAAGAAGAAGATACGATTATAATGCGAAATCCCAGCTTCTGTATCTTACAGGTCACTCAAAAGAATATATAGAAATATAAATAATAATTATGCCTTTTAATATTTAAATCAGTGTTGGCTTAGTGGTCAAAGGGCCCGCCTCTCGTTGCCGAGGGCGCGGATTCGATCCTGACAAGTACAAATGTGATTTTTCTGAGTACTATCCAAGAGTATTTAGACACCACTGACTGTTGACAGCCAACTTCTTTATAATTTGTGTTTTGAGGTGAAAAACTATTTTTTTATTTCAAAATAGTTTGTTAACCGCGATGGACATTAATGAGATCTATAATTTTCGCGAGTAACCGTTTAAATGAAACTAATATTGTTTGGATTACTACATACGCGTTTTTTTATTATATTAAACTACATACTTCCGACGTTTCGGTTACTTTTCAGTAACGGTGATCACGGTAGTAAATCCGAAAACATTAGTTTTATTTAAACTAATGTTACTAATTTTTTATATTAATAGAAAAAAATCATATATTTTATAGATGGTAGACCCTAGCTGTGGTCAAGTTATCTCGAACATGGTCTGTCTCGACCGTAAGTACCACCCTCTCATAGAAGATCGGCGTGAAGTAGCCTTTAATGGCTGCATTTCGTCTGATGAGTGAGAGAGACGGTTGCCCTGTCTCTTTCCCTCCCTTTCCTCTCCTTTCTCAACAATGTTGGCAACACATTAGCAACATGGGCGACGGTAACTGTCTTCCATCAAGTAGACCGTCTGCTCGTTTGCTACCAAACGCATAAAAAATAATAAAAATGAAAATAAAAAATAATAAAAATGAAAATAATGTGTGAATTTCATATTTTTCTAAGAGTTCACGAAATTACTTATTGACTATTAAAAGATTGTAGATGCAAACTTATACTAGTTGTGTATTTTGTATAAAATACCAGTATACATATATCTTACCAAATAAATAAGAAGAATTTTTTTTATAGCTGGCATTGCCTGCTTTCGTTGCTAGTACCGAATTCCGATGTAGAAAAAATATATCCAATAATAGCTTTCCGCCCGCAGCTTCGCCCGCATGGAGTTCGGTTATATCGCGTTTCCAAGAGAACCTTTCAAAAGTCTGGGATAAACACTATCCTATGTTCTTTCTCAAGGTCAACTCTGTCTGTACCAAATTTCATTAAAATCAGTTCAGTTGTTTAGGTGTGAAAGCATTACAGACAGATATAAAGACAGAGTTACTTTCGCATTTATAATATTAGTAGGGAATAGGGATTATTTAAATTAATAATAATTTAAGTAAAATGCCACTTACGTTTGTCGTTATATATACATAGTAACAAATCATTTAAATTTGAAACTTCAAAAAACTAACTTCTTAAATTGATTGAAGTTTATGTTGAAATTGAAACTCTTCTATCCTTTAGAACTCTCTAGTCCTGATAGGAATCTTTCCTAGTTTATGAAACAGAGATAGTAATTTTGTACATAATGAGATCTAAGGTTTTCGCGATTTATTCATTTAAATGAAACTAATATTTTTCTGATTATACTATAAACTAGACGAAACGTCGGGAGTGTGTAGTTTTTTACAAAAATAAAGTCGTGTAGTAGGTATATCCTAGAAATAATAGTTTCATTTAAATTATGTACATATTCGCTAAATCTGTGATTGACTAATTGTCATATATTCAAAGCACCACTTCCGCGTGACTCGTCGACTTGTCTTCGGCATATGGCATGGCGTTACATTCACTAAACTTCCAAGATCTGAATTCTCTCAATGAATTATTCTGTAGGCTAAAGTAATTTCGTTTTCAGTCGTGAAACGCTCTTTTCCTGGGTGTTGCTCAGGCTGTACTTACCAGCTTAAATTATTTTTTCCATACTAGCGAACTTCTAGATTTTTTTTTATTTGAACGGCACATCAACAGTACATACATTAAGCACTTAAAACTAAACATTTAAAACTAAACACTAACTGATGTATGTACCAATTATAGATGTACACAGCACTGCTAAAAATTACTGTCTAACTTACAAAAATATAAAAAAAAAATAAGTTAACTTTGATAGAAAAACAAATTCATCTCCCCAAGAGCACCAATATCGTAGTTACCAGCTTAAATAATAATTATTTCCATGCTAGCAAACTTCTAGAAGCTTCGAAAGACGAACAAATTCCTCTCTCCAAGAAGATCAAAACTCTGGTTATAGAGAACTCACTACATGTATTTGTGCAGGTCTTCTATTTTATATTTCTTTTAAGAACTCGCTATATATGTCGACCAAGAGTTGCCTTGTCCTGTTGTAGAACATATAATTTAGCAGAAAAAATCATTGTAATTAATAACTTAGCAGAGAAAATCATGATCTTATTAAGACGATTTTGATGTTCTATTCCAATTCCCTTTAATATTTTTATAGAACAAATTTCTATAATTGATTAATCTGGTGCAAGCTTTATCAATCTGTGTGTTGACTATCTGTCTAAATATGATCATCCCCAGGATATGTTCGCAGGCTTCATATTCAATTTGATCTGATATATCCACATCTTTTATATCTCTCGCCTTATCACCAGGATTTACACGCTTTTTCTTTTATAATATATACACAAATTTTTGAACCAAGAGATTCTAAGAAACTCGAACCATATCTTTATTTGAGACTAATTATTGTAAACAACTACTAAAGGTACAAGCACTTTTATTTCAATTAGTTTTTGTATGTATAAAAAGATTTTAAAAATGTGAAATATAAAAGCAAACTCAGCCGATTTGACGAGTAACAGAAAAGTAACTTCTATTGAGATGAACCCCTTGCTCCTACACTGTATTCTTTAAATTTAATTATTTTCTTCAGTATAATCTATGTAATGTATGTGCGTAGCAAATGGTTTAAAGTATACAATTTTGTTTTATGTAATTGTATCATCTTGGTCATGATTTCTTTTCTATAACTATGCCATCGACTATTATTTAGTTCACCAGAAGATAAATCTTCAGCCACAACTTTGTCCGATAGAAATACTACTAAAATACTCTATAGGCCAGAATACCCATGTATCTTTCACTGATAGGCAACTGATATTAATAGAAATAACTTTAGCCACTTCTAAGTATTAAATCTAATTTAGTGATATATATTTAAAAAAATCCAATCAAAGTCGCGTGCACAGCATATATGAATAAAACATCAAAGACATTTAAAAATATTTATTACAATATAACATTTTGCGGAAACAACTCGCGTCTCTGTAGACTACCGACGTCTGTCCGTGCGTTAATATACATATATATAAAAGAATTTAATATATTTAATTAAAAAATAAAGAGATCTGCATTAATACCTGGGAATATGACTTATTATGAGAACATATGATAATACAAAAAATGAGGATAGTTCAAATTTATTAACAGCGCCATCTATCAGTAGACGATGAAACTAACAGTAGTTTTAATATATATATATAGAAAAAATATATAAACACATATAGACAGAGTCGGCGTATTGCATTATATAACACAATTTCCTTTGTACAATATTTGCGCTTCAATCCCGAAAACTGGGTTATCGAACCCACGACCGTGTAATGCGAACCATTCCCGTGTGGTTCCGTGTAATGTAGAACGGATATCCGGTGTCTCATCCCCACCAGTTGCAAATCCAGGTCTTGAATTCCAGGTTTTACAGGTCTTACAGGTTCTCGTGAAGGAAATGCAGCAGTGTCGCCTCGTAATGCTTGGCCGCGTGCATCGCTCGAAGTGAATGCCTTTCGCCCGGATACACCTAATTAGGACAGCGAAACAAGATAAATTATGTAAACAACCTTATATTTTTAAAATGATTGTAATATGAAATAGAAAGTCGATAGATCAAATTCATTTATGTATATTATATAACCAAAATATGGAAATTAAATAAAAAGGATTATAGTAAAACTCAATTTTAAATTTTGCATGTATCTGAATCATGTCGAATATCAATTTGATATGAGGGCCAAAGGTCAATTTGTACATTTGTATATTTATCATTTATTTAGACGAATTTCATACTTTATACGCTAACAGGAGATAGTGTGTGTGTGTGCGTGTGTGTGTGTGTCTGTGTGTGTGTGTGTGTGTCTGTGTGTGTGTGTGTCTGTGTGTGTGTGTGTCTGTGTGTGTGTGTGTGTGTGTGTGTGTGTGTGTGTGTGTGTGTGTGTGTGTGTGTGTGTGTGTGTCTGTGTGTACCTGAACTCTGTGAGGTTTCCCCAGCCTCACGAGCTCCGCCAGTAGCGCCGCCGTGTGGCAGAAGTGTACGTTTTCATCGGCCAGACCGTGTATTATAAGGAGACGACCCTCCCTAAAAAAACAAATATAAATCACTTATATATATATATAAAGTCGTGTTAATTACACTATTTATAATTCAAGAACGGCTGTAGAGATGGTGAGACTGCTTAGAACTAGGAATAGGACATAGGTTATTTAATTATGTTCGATAGAAACAGAAAAAAAACTTAATAAAAAGAATAGAGTTCGCCCCATCAGCTATACATATTTTACTAATTCCGATATTTAGGCGGGAAGAAGTCGCTGACTAAAATTAGTATTATATTTATATAAGTAATAATTGCAACCTACAAATTCATTCATCACGACATCTCTGGAACCATTATACATATATAGACTTAATATGAATGTTCCTAGCATTAAGTAGAGATCAGCTTCGAATTAAGATTTAATTCCACCCACAGATTCAGCTGCGGGACGGATTTAGATTTAGATTATACCCATATTATGTGTTGTTTACCTATCAGGAAAGAATGGTGCGTGCGCCAACACACTGGCCCTGCTGTACGCGTGAGGGGCGCAGGCCGGGAGCCCCATGTAGCGCTCCGTGTAGGCCGTGTCGTACAGCCTCCAACAAGTGACCGGAGCCCCCGCCACGCACACCTTGAAGGTGTTTGGACGAGTCGCGAGCCCCAGCAGAGATAGGTAACCACCTGCAACAAAGATACACAAATATATGTATCTTCTTCTACCTGGCAATTTCCCAGCATTAGCCAGGGTCTGCCTTACATGTTGTGAATAGTTTCGGCTACTTGTTTTTACGACCGGCCGCCTGTCTTACATCAATCCTCTTTGGGAGTGAATGAATGAAAGTAAATAATATGACTCGAAAAAATCACATTGGTAGTTGCCAGGATCGAACCCGTGCCCTCGTGCTAAGTGGCGGGCCTTTTAACCACTAGGCCATCACTGACTTAACCAGCGCTTTTAGATACTATTAAATCTTGTATAATATATTAACATTAGTTTCTTATTTATATTCTAAACTATTCAATACATAATTTAACTGTGAGCTATTTAGTGAGGTTCTTCGAATATTAGAAAATAGTAAATGCTTATATTAATAAAGATATTAAAACATTTTTTTTTTTGGATTATTTACTGTCAAATATAGCTGACCCGGCAAACGTCATTTTGCCATATAAAAAAATATTGGTTGTTGATAAAAAAGTAAAAGTATTTGGTTGTATTTTTAGTGCTACATGATAAAAAAAGATCGTCCGAAAATTAAAAAATAAAGGTTAAGGGTGAACAACCATTACGACTTAGAGGTATGAATAGCAGATGTTGGCCGATTCTCAGATCACTCAATATGCTCACAAAATTTCATCAAAATCGGTCCAGCCGTTTCGGAGGAGTTCTGTGTCTAACAACGCGACACGAGAATTTTATATCCTTACTAATATTATAAATGCGAAAGTAACTCTGTCTGTCTGTCTGTTACGCTTTCACGCCTAAACCACTCAACTGATTTTAATGAAATTTGGTACAGAGATAAAGTTGACCTTGAGAAAGAACATAGGATAGCTTTTATTCCGGACTTTTGAAAGGTTCTCTTGGAAACGCGATATAACCGAAGTCCATGCAGGCGAAGCTGCGGGAGGAAAGCTAGTATAAGAATATAGTATGTTATAATAATTACTGACCGTAACTCCAGCCGTGTATAGCGACTCGATCCATATCAATACAACCGGTTTCTTTAGCCAGCCATTGAAGAACTTCAACCTTAAAACAAAAATAACAAATATATACATACATATAAATTTTTATTTACTTATTAGTATGAATAGCATAATTCTTTTTCCTATATAATTTAAACGAAATAGCGTATATGTAAAAATTTATAATATCCTATACTAGGTTTTCCCGCGACTTCGTCCGCGTTAATTTAAGAATCAGTAATATAATTATGCAGTGGCGGCTGGTGGGTAATAGAACTGGTGGTGCACTTTACTAAAATATTAAAATTAGAAAATGCAACAATGCAATAACGAAATGTCAAAAACGGCTCAATTCGTCATACATCGGGTGCTCTCGGTAATCTTCGGCCGCTCGTGCGGCGCTCGAGAACCGACTCATTACCCGGTACATTTCTATGAACTATCTTTTGTTTCACGCGCCAGGCGTATTAATGCGTATCTCATACAAGATGTATTAGGAGTCCTCGTGCACTCGCCAAAGCGCACGATATGAGTGTAGTAAAGCGCTCAAACTTTTTGACCATAATTAGGAAATTTAATTGTTTATACGTTTTTGTATGTTTAAAAAATAATTATTAAAATGTCAATTTAAAAATAAAGATGAAGTAATTTTTTTTTTTAATTTTAAATCTTTTGAAGTGGTGGTTCAGCGCACGAGTGCACTTAAGGTACAGCCGCCACTGTAATTATGTATAGCTGACCGGGCGAACTCTACTCCCAAAGATTTTATTTTCTGTTTCGATCGCATACAATTAAATATCCTATGTAAGTCTTTTTGTTCTAGCTATATCCCGGTCAATTTCCATCCATATCTGTACAGCTGTTCTGAGTTGTAGATCTGAGTTATAGATAGTGTAACTAACACGACATTCTTATATATATAATTCTTCTGTGAGTGTGTATGTCACTGAACTTCTCTCAAACAACTGGGCCGATTTTGATGAAATTTTTTGTGTGTGTTCAAGGGGAGCTGGGAATGGTTTAGATTCACAATTTTGTCCGCTGGATAATGTTTTTTTAATTAATTTTTAATTAATTAGTAGTTGTTGATACAAACATTTTTTTTGACATTAGATTTGACAACTAACTAATACGTCGATCATTCTGTCGCACTTCAAAACACGGAGATTTATGGCTTTAATAGGTAAACTCCAAAAATATAAATAAAAAAACGTAACAGATATTTCTTGATTATAGGGCGATACGAAGTTCGCCGGGTCTTCTAGTATATATATATATATATAATTTCTATTGTATCTCTTATATATAAAGTACATTACCTGATCATCCAGTTCAACTTGACCCATCTTTCCTTTGATTGCTGCCTCCCACAGCCTCCCTCTATGTTTGGAGCCTCTCGAGTCTACAGACACCACTGTAAATCCTCTTGCAGCCAACATATGCATTCTCAATTGTCGTACACCCTGTAACAAATTGAATGGAATTAATTTAACCACTTGCAAATATTAATGGGTCTATGTATAAGGGCCAATGTAGCAATTTAACCAATTTTTTTACTTCAAACACTTCTTCATCTGGTTACCGAGCTTTGCTTAGTATTTAGGAATTATTAGTATTCATTTTGTGTTTTTATTTTATTTCGTTTATGCATTTAAAAGTGAACACGTTAAGAAGACACAAAACAATTTAAATCAACAATTAATTTCTTAGTCTAATTTAAAACAAACACTCATTGACTTCCTGTTATTTGACAACGCCATCTGCTGTTGTGTCGTTAAAGCAATTAGCAAAAAGTAGTATTACTATTCGCCAATAGATGTCAGAAAGAGTCATATTTCAAACGTCTTTTTGTTTTTTTTTTTTCATAAAATAACATTTTCAAAAATAATTCCTAGCTAGATCGATGTATCGGCCCAGATATCCCCTAAATACTAAATTAAATACAAGAATTCTTCATTTAAAGATACAAAAGTTTATCAATCTTAAATGACGTACATGTATGTCATAGTTGCTATGCAAAGTTTCAAAAGCACCAGTTGTATGTACAAGATACATTGATGTCAAACTTAAAAATGCCTCTACTGAACAATTGTCATTTTGCACATTGGCCATTATACATAGGAGCCATCGATATAAAGGTTATGTTTTGTTATATTGTTTATACAAAATTGATATAGAATATTGCAAATTTAGATACTTCTATAGGTTGATATAACAATATTTTGGTATTTGATAGTCTTTTGAGATAAGAGACGAAATTATCATCATTCCATGTATTCATATGCGTGTGTCGGGTCCATCGTTGTAGTAAGAGGAGCTTCAACAGTGACTGGGACTTGTGACCCAGGTGTAGGTTTAAGGGACCCTATCTAACGTTAAACGCTCACCTCCACTGTCCAAGCTCCTCTCTATTAAATTTGAAACAAACCTACTAGTCCTTCAAAGTATGTTCCAAGAATCTAAATTAGTTCTGGACTAACTAAATTTGAAATGAACCTACTAGGATTGCCTTAGACTCACATTCCAAGAATCTAAATTAGTTCTGGACAGGCCTAAGTCTTGTAATACTTCTAGTCCATATAACAACTTACCTTATAACTATTAGTGACCGTTTGAACTTCAGGCCCTCCGTATACATGTAATACGGTAGGCCTTCGCCCCGGTACGGCGCTCCGCCACAATGTGCAATACGCTAGGGCTCCACAGGACAGGCGAGTTGATAGTATCTGCGGCGGGGGCACGGGCGGAGGCCTAGTGCTTGGAGACTCCTCTTCATCAGGGCGACAGTCCCAAGTACCGTTGAACGAACGAGGTTCTGGTGATTCTGGAAGGCAATGTAATATGTATTATACTGGTCAAAGTTTGTTATTCTAGAAGAAGTCACTTTAATATGTATAAGTTTGATGTTTGCTACTCATTAATCCCTACTAATATTATAAATGCGAAAGTAACTCTGTCTGTCTATCTGTCTGTTACGCTTTCACGCTTAAACCACTGAACTGATTTTAATGAAATTTGTTACAGAGACAGAGTTGACCTTGAGAAAGAACATAGGATAGTTTTTATCCCAGACTTTTGAAAGGTTCTCTTGGAAACGCGATATAACCGAAGCGGGGCAGCGGGCGGAAAGCTGGTATTATATATATATTTATGCAACACACATAATTTAAACCGGTCCTTTAAATTCCTGAACGCACCCGAAGTGACGTTAAAGCGATGACGTTTGATTTATTCACTTTTACGAGGGAAAGTATTTGTAGACGAGACTGGTGTTTTTGTAATAAAACTTATTAAAGGCGTTTTAGTTTGTTATTTAAAAACTTCATAAGACAACTATATTTTTTAATAATTTTGTTAGAATCCTTAATATACTTAACCGATATCAATGAAACTTTCCTATAATATAGTTTGGAATAGAATATGGTATAGATTACAATTAATGTTACACAGACAAAAGATGGCGCTGATAGTTTATTCACATATATTATATAAAGTACACGTACATGACCACAAAACCAGATACAATAATGTAAGTTCATCATTAAAGCTACGCCCTTAGGTTGTTAGTTCGAAACTAAGTCGTGTTATTCTTCTTCTTCCTGGCAAATTCCCATCTTTAGCCAGGGTCTGACATGTTGTGAATACTTTTGGCTAATTGTTTTTACGACCGGCCGTCTGCCAGACATCAACCCTCTTTGGGAATGCATTAATCAGTGATGTCTAAATACTCTTAGAAAGTACATATGACTCGGAAAAATCTCATTGGTACTTGCCAGAATCGAACCCGTGCCTTCATGTATAAGCATGAGAGGCGGGCCTGTTAACCACTAGGCCACCACTGACTAAACTAAGTCGTGTTATTATCAAGATATAATATAAATATAATTAATACTACCCACCGGGCATTTTATCCACCAGTGTACCGTGATCTACGAGAGTCACCTTCTCCCCGTTGTGAGTGATTCGGTACACCCGGGTCACTGGACATTCGGATATATTTGACGACGTTATTACGGCCATCGAGCAATCCTGGAACAGGTTAAAGGTCATAAAATATATGAATATGGTGAGAGAGAGAGTCAAAGGTCATTAGAAATATGAATATGGTGAGAAATAGGGAGAGATAGAAGTAAAACTTTTAAATTTCCTCTTGTGATAGGTTTAATAATTTTCGATGGTAATTTTGGATATTTTAATGTTAAACATTACTATCTCTATATCTAACTGTCTCTGTACCAAATTTCATTAAAATCAGTTCAGTGGTTTAGGCGTGAAAGCGTAACAGACAGACAGACAGAGTTACTTTCGCATTTATAATATTAGTAGGGATGTAACACCTATTTTTTCACAATTCCACCTATATCTGGATCAAGTCAAGACAACAGTAAAGTTCTTCATTGCAAACTAGTTCATTTTAACACACACACATTTACCTCATCCATATCAACACTATGTGAATGTCCGGGTTTAGTGAGTAGCACGACCTGTCGCGGCGCGGACATTGACACTACGTATAGGTGGCGCTCCAGTGGTGTCTCGCGGAGCCCTACGAAGTACACCAGGCCGCGGGGCTCATCCACCTGGAGGAATATACACGTTGAGAAACAGACACCGTTGTGGCCTAGTGGTTAAAGGCCCGCCTCTCGTGCATGAGGGCCCGGGTTCGATCCTGACAAGTACCAATGTGTGTTCCGAGTCATATGTACTTTCTAAGAGTATAAAGATACCGCTGACTAATGAAGGAAAACATCGTGAGGAAACATGGACTAATATTAAATTATAAGTTTGAAATCACCAACCCGTCTTGAGCGAGCGTGGTGATTAATGCTCAAACCTTCTCCATGTAAGAAGAGGTCTTTGTTCAGCAGTGGGCTCTGATAGGCTGATGATGATGTCAATCAACCCATCTATCACGGTACTACATACTTACAACTATCGTGACGTGTTTCTGCTATATTAACATAGAGTAGAAGAATAAAATATAACCCATATTTAAGTCTAACCTGCAAAACTATATTATAGGAAATCTTCATCACAATCCGTTCAGTATACTTCGAGTTAAAACCTAACATACATGTACATATAATATCGTCGGGGATAGTGCTGATCCGCGTAACTAACATTGTATAATTTCCCGTATCTATATTAGAAGCAGATTATCAGTAGAAAGTTTGAACTGAAATATTTTGTATATTAACGACTTTTAAGGTAATTTTTTCACAATTAGTAATAAATTTAATCCTTACTAATATTATAAACGCGAAAGTAACTGTGTCTGTCTGTCTGTTACGCTTTCACGCCTAAACCACTGAACTGATTTTAATGAAATTTAGTACAGACATGGAGTTGACGTTGAGAAAGAACATAGGATTGTTTTTATCCCAGACTTTTGAAAGGTTCTTTTGGAAATGCGATATAACCGAACTAGACGCGGGCGAAGCTGCGGGCGGAAAGCTAGTACTTAATAATTATAACAAGGTACGTGGAATTATCCAATGGTAGTTGTTCGGATTTGCACTATCCCCGAAGATATATAAATATGACTAACCCATATTTTTCTTCCCATGACCTCCCAGTCTCCATCAGTCAAAGCTTCTTTACTGATCACTCGAGGTCCTACAGCATTTGACTCATCCTCAGCCATTATATCTGTTACCGCTGAAAATATAAACATTACTTATATATATAACAATTTTTAAGTTAAAAATACCTTATTACTATCATCTTACAGATCAAAATCAAATTTAATTAAATAATAACTCAAGCCGACTTAAATATATGTATATAATTAAACTCACTTACTTATAAGTAACCAGGGTATAAAAATTAAATTAAGTAACTGTTCAAAATAGTGCACTAACTCAAAACGACTCACTGGAACATTCAAACTCACTCATATCAAGCAACAATATTCATTCACTAAAATTCACTCATAACCCATTAAGTCACTTCCACACTTAGGTTTTATTAAATCTTTTTTCAAGTTTCGCGCCAAACTAAACATTAATTTTACTCTTATAAAGAAACCACAGATTAAAAAACACATTATATTGACACAAACATTCTCATAGATATATTTAATGCTAAACGAGGCCGAGCGGACTTCCTATAAGATTGAGGTAATATCTTAGCCCATAGACATCTGTAATATAGATTTGTGGTTGGACCCTTGATTTGAGAAGAGAGGGAAAAGGTGGGAAAGAGAGGGAAAAGATAACCATCTCTCTCACTCATCAAACAAAACGCAGCCATTAAAGACACCTTCACTTCAATCTTCTGTGAGAGAGTGGTACTTCCCCGGTCGAGCCAGCCCATGTTCGAGCTGTAGCAACTTGACCACAGCTAGGCTATACAATCTTAACAAAGATTGCGCTAGTATATTTTGTTATATTCTATTACATAATATAATCTATGCTACTTCACTCCATGTTCCAACACTTTGAACATCATCATACCTCATCTTTCCCCGTGCCCAGCTGTGCCAAAACCTTCTGTAGGTGTTAAAACCCTACTAATATTATGATTGCGAAAGTTTGTATGTGTGTATGTTTGTTACTTCTTCACGCTCAAACGGCTGAAGCGATTTTGATAAAATTTCGTATACAGAAAGCTGATGTCTAGGAATAAGACAGGTTACTTTACATCCCGGAAACCCACGAGTAACGCCGCGGGGTGCAGCTAGTATAGCCCAAACTCACTCATAGCCCTACGTCCATTCAGCTCGCAGGTGATGAGATATAGATGCAGGTGTCCGGTGTCTTCGGACGCCCAGATGAACCTCACGTGTCCGGTCTCTGACGGCAGGAAGTGGAGGATGTCGTGGACATTGACCCACGCGTCCGGCGCCGTTTCGGACACTAACACCTGGATCTGGAATATAAAATAAATATATCGCTATGTCCTATATATAAGGGCCAATCAAATATCCATTATATTAAACAGAATAGTGTCAGAATCGGGTCAGCCTTTCATGTGCTAAGTGTACACAAGCAGACAGATAAATAGACGATGAATCCACCAAATAATGTTATGTGATGACGAACTATGTTTTTCTTATTAAAATAAATTAGTTTTTATATGTTAATAGATGCAAAATCAATGATTTTACATTTCAAAACATATACAGTAATACCCCGCTTAACGCGACCCCGTTATACGCGGTTTCACTATAACGCGATTTTCAAATATTTATTCAGATTTGGACATATTGCAGAGTATAGACAATAATGATGACCGTGTCTTGAACGTGCGTCAAACAATTAAAAACAGTGTTGGGTGTTATGAACGTACTTTACAAGAACGTAAACAAAACGCTACCCAAAAGACAATACATGTATTTTTTCGTAAAAAATAGGAGTACCTATGTATTGTATTGTGTTCTTAGAATTAAAGTGATTGATTAAAATGATTTTTATATTTGTGTATTAAACTTTGACTGTGTTTAATCATAAACCTCGATATACGCGAATTTCAGTTAACGCGATTTTCTTCGGAACATATCCCTCGCGTAAAGCGGGGTATTACTGTACATGGTTATCTCACACTAACTGTTGTATATAGAATTTAACACAATTATTGTTTATATGAACGGGAAGTGTAAAAAGATATTATTTATATAAAATCTCATCTACCTGTGTTCTGTCCCCCTGTCTACTCCCCGTAGCGGGAGCCTCTTCATCCAATCTTCCTCCATCAGACCCTTGTTCATACTTCACGGGTACACTGAACTCACTCACAGGCACCAGAGCTAGCTCCAATCTCTGCTGCTTCCTATCCAATACTTGGACCCATACGCTGGAAATATTAATAATATATAAAAAACCTCAGTCAGTGGTGGCCTAGTGGTTAAAAGTCCGCCTCTTATGAGGACGCGTGTTCGATCCTGGCACTACCAATGTGATTTTTCCGAGTCATATGTACTTTATAAGAGTATTTAGACATAACTGATTAATGAATGAAAATATCGTGATGAAACCAGGACTTATACATAATTTATATACATATAAGTTTGAAATCATCCACCCGTGTTAAGCAAGCGTGGTGATTAATGTTCTATCCTTCTCCATGTGAGAAGAGGCCTTTGTACAACAGTGGGCTCTGATAGGCTGATGACATTGAAAACCTGACAATTATCATATATGTATGTGTAGGAATTTATGAAATAAAGAATATTTGCGAGTTTTAATTAGCAAAATTAAGTTGCAAAAGTTCACAAGAGTAGCATAAGAATTTAAAAATATATATATTCATTTACATATATTATATTTTATATTGTTGAAAAAATTATCACTCATTTTTATTTATATGTTTGTTTCATTTAAACACAATTATCATTAATTTACTGTACCGATCTTGATGGTAATCTTTATTTGACATCCAATTGATATATATAAAGAAAAAAATTATATATATCCACATTCCGGCAATATTTCTAGCTAATTTATTACTAGACCTGTTGTAATACTTACTACTGTGAGCACGGGGTCCAACCAACTCTTGCCAGGTATTCAAACCAGGGGAACACTTCTTTTAATGAATGTCTCAATTCATACCATCTAACATCGATGACTTCCAAAGGATCCGAACTATTGCCGGGACTCTCTGATGCTGGAAAGCAAATTATGATCTTTATATAGGCTCAATATATAGAAATATTGGTATTTATATATAAATTATTATATATATATGGAATGGAATTAAATTTTGACCGACTTGGGTCTTTTAAAAGTGAGTAATGCTTTTAATTGAAAGATATTCTTCATATTTTGTTACTAAAAAACTGATGGTGCAAATGTATTTTAATATATTAATATAACATACTAGTTATTGTGACCGACTGTGTCTAAATGGTTTTAAAAAGATATTAATTACTAACAAAAATTGTATAAACATTTATATATATGATAGTTCCAATAACCATATATGGTTATTGAATGGAATTATTCCTGGAATTGGAATTCCTATGAGAAAGTTTACTGTCTAAATATTGGTAAGAGATAAGTCAGTGGTGGCCTAGTGGTTAAAGGTCCGCCTCTCATGCCTGAGGGCACAGGTTCGATCCTGGCAAGTACCAATGGAATTTTTCCAAGTCATATGAATTTTATAAGTGTATTTAGACATCACTGATTAATGCATTCCCAAAGAGGGTAGATGTCAAGCAGGCGGCCGGTCGTAAAAACATTTAGCCAAAACTACTCACGACATGTAAGGCAGACCCTGGCTAAAGCTTGGAAATTGCCAGGTAGAAGATATATATATAGCCTTAATACTAGTTTCTTACTATCATACCAACAGTATTTGAGTTCCCTTCTTGATAGTAATCGAGGACGGTGGTGGGGGGAGCTTTCTGTAATCTGAATGTCACCATTTTAAGGACTGATTTCGCATTAGGGGTGCCGGCGCGAGGAAACCTGCGGAATTATATATGTATAAGCATCTAATAAGTATAGTAGACTAGTTTAATACCGCGACTTGGAGCTCGTAATTGTATAAATAGAGAAATATTTATCTTTATATATAATTCTTCTGTGAGTGTGTATGTCACTGAACTTCTCTCAAACGACTGGACCGATTTTGATGAAATTATTTGTGTGTTCAAGGGGATCTGGGAATGGTTTAGATTCACAATTTTGTCCGCTGGACAATGTTTTTTATAAATAATTTTTAATTTATTAGTAGTTGTTGATACAAACCTTTTTTTTTGATATTAGGTTTGACAACTAACTAATATGTCAATAATTCTGTCGCACATCAAAACACGGAGATTTATGGTTTTAATAGGTAAACTCTAAAATATAAATAAAAAAACGTAACACATATTTCTTGATTATAGGGCGATACGAAGTTCGCCGGGTCTTCTAGTTTAATTATAAGTTTGAAATCACCAATTCGTCTTGAGCAAGCGTGGTGATTAATGCTCAAACCTTCTCCATGTGAGAAGAGGGCTTTCAGCAGTGGGCTCTGATAGACTGATGATGAGTTAATTACCTGAATTCTTCAACCTCCCCACTCGAGCTCTGTGATGACGGAAAACTATATATCTTGACCTCGCTTTCGTCAACTTCCTCGTACACTATTCTAAATACATTATCTGTAACATACAAAAAAGGGATCCTATTTATATGTAAATAAAATATATTTTTGAATCATGGATTAGCACTTATTGAGGAAAATAAATGCTAATCCATGATTCAATGTTAGCATATCGTAGGCGCGACTACACTTAAGGGCAATTTTGCAATACCGCGTATTAGTATTTTATTAATAGTCTATTAGGAAGAAGTAATTATCTTGGTCAAAATAATATTTTTTTTACTGTTTGTATGAACTTTTCTTATTGGCTTATTTAAACATCACGAGTTTGATTAAATGGCAATAGACACTCAGAAGTCAATGCAGCGATGACGAATCGTGCGACTTTTGTAAATATGAGGTATTGCAATTTCCTCTTACGTACTATTGCAGTGACATAGACACTATAGGATAATATATATGGCTCAACCGGTATTGAACCTATTACAAGCTACAGATTAATCATAGCAATGTCAGAGGTAGTCATATATCAAAAAATTATATGTGTGTGTATGTATGTATGTCTATCACCTGTAGATTGCGGCTGCCACCATATTCCAGTGTATCTCGAAAACTCCTCCTGAGTCACGTAACAAGGAACGCCAGCCTGCTTGGGATCGTCTGATAAACTGAAAAAAATATTAATATATATATATATATATATTAGCTTTCCGCCCGCAGCTTCGTCCGCGTGGAGTTAGGTTATATCGCGTTTCCAAGACAACCTTTCAAAAGTCTGGGATAAAAACTATCCTATGTTCTCTCTCAAAGTCAACTCTATCTCTGTACCAAATTTCATTAAAATCTGTTCAGTGGTCGAGGCGTGAAAGCGTAACAGACAGACAGACAGAGTTACTTTCGCATTTATAATATTAGTAGGGATTTTCATACAAAATTAAGGAAAATACAAGATAATATGTGGTCATACATATTTAATTACAATAGTAATTAAAAGTTTGAATAATAGAAAGGAAACATATCACGTCGATTAGTATAAGCTGTAAGTGTTGACTCAAGAACTTCAGGAGTAGAGAGAGAACTACGCTAGATGGCGCTATTTATAGTAAAACAAACTGTATTACTCTTATAATCCGTCACGAGATGGCGCTGATATTCGTAAATAGCAAATCGTTTATTACACATTAGTTAAGTATTGTAGCACAAATCAGTGGAATAATTAGCTCAAAATATTTTAATGTTTTAAAATAATCTACATAGAAATAGAAAAAATAATGGTTTCTTATCAAAGAAAATTTCTTTTTCATAACATTTTTATATGTCAACATCTTGTTTGACCACCCACCGTTCTTCCCTGCCTTTGCAGGCGTACGTAAGTCTCGCTGGCCGCCTTAGAGAATCACCCGCCAGCCACACATCACCGCGTGCGGCGTGGGCCACCAGGGACGGCATGGCGGGACACATAGCCGGCGTTAGTGGCGCCCCCCACCCCGTGCTGAGAGACTTTGGTACTAGGGGAGGGGACTGGAATGTTATTAGGACATACATTATATATATATTATATACATATTATTATATATTAATATATATAAAGATCTGAAGGTTCAAGTTCAAATCCTGTTCGGTTTAATGAATTTTTCATTATATATTTTATTATTCAATTTATTTGATAAATATAAGCTTTGTTAGTGTAGCAATAGGTCTTATATATTATATCTTTTAGGATAGTGATAGGGCTGTACATTAACTTGGTAATTCGACTCAACACAGATGATATCAGGTTAAAATAAACTAACAATGTACATCCCTGATCAAATCTATGCTCTATTGAAAGTTAAATGTAACTTTAATCAGATAAATACACCATTTTATTTTAATACTAAAACTTGTAACAAGTGTTGCCATATCATTAATAAGTTTATATATGATGGCAACACTGCAATTTTACCTGGTTTGGCGCTTCTTCAGCTATAAACAATGATGAAGCACAAGGGAACAGCACCCTTCCGGTCTTGGGGTGTAGTTCATATGATGCTATGCCCCAAGCAGCCACTCTTTGCCGCTCCCAAAGAAGCTGTTCCTCACGAGACCACTTTCCTGATGAAACTCCCAGCGCTACATTTGACTCAATCAACGGCCGCCAATCTAACCTGGAATTGTTTTATATTTATAAGTGGGGCTGAGTGGTTAAAGGGTCCGCCTCTCGTTGCCGAGGGCGCGGGTTCAAACCTGGCAAGTACCAATGTGATTTTTTGGAGTCATATGTACTTTCTGAGAGTAGTTAGACACCACTGACATACGGTGAAGGAAATTACGTGAGGAAACCTGGACTTATAGTTTCACAATTATAAGTTTGAAATCACCAACCCGTCTTGAGCAAGCGTGGTGATTAATGCTCAAACCTTCTCCATGTGAGAAAGAGGCCTTGCTCAGCAGTGGGCGCTGATAGGCTGATGATGAAGTGGGGCTGTTAGTATGTATCACTTACATATCCGCGCAACTATCATTGTATAATTCCGCGTATCTACATTGGAAGCAGATTATCAGCAGTTTGAGCTAAAATATTTTCTATATTAACGACTTTTATTAGTAATTATTTTGTGTTTAATTTATTACTAATTGGATTTTTTAATTTATTATTAATTGGATTTGGCTAACTTTGTTTTGTTATAAAAAATAGGGGTTGGTGATGTAAAAGTAAAAATTGAGGTTGGATGTATTTTTTAAAGCTGTGTTATAAAAATATAAAAACAAATAATTTCGATGGGAAAAAAAAATTAAGAGTAAATAATCATATATCAGGGGTATGAAAAATAGATAGTAGCCGATTCTCAGATATACTGAATATAAAACTTGGTAAAGCCGTTTTGGAAGAGTACGGTAACTAACATTGTCATTGTGGAGCCTTGCTTAGGAAGGTCACACAATGTGGTCAGAATTGAGGGTAGTAAAAGTCAATGACTGGGTCATTTTGATTCTTCAATAAGACCTCCTAAGGAAATATTTAGTCCAATGGACATTCCACATTCCATTGGAAGTTGGATAGAATTATCAGTGTTAAATGTTAAAATTAAACTAATAATTATTTTCTGTACTTCACTATCAGTGCCCGCGATTTTGTCCACTCCAAGAGTTTTTTTTATTAAATTTTGTAACCATAAAAGTAAATGTTATTTATACAACAAGATGCATCTTCGCATTTTTTTCTCGATTTGCTTGAAAGACAAAGCCCTCGATACAAATGGAGTGAAGCAACTTAATTTTTTCGATCACAAAACGGTATTTTGGACATAGGTTCCGTTTTCCGGAACTAAAATTGAAATCGGTTGTCTGATCTAAACTTTTTTTGGATAAATATCACCCAAGATAACTGGACTATCGAACAAAAAAACTAAGTCGACAGTGTAGCATTCCGCACGCTTCACTCAATCAAATGCACCTAAGTCATTCCCTATTAACTAATCTATCTACCAGTGAAAATCATATCAAAATAGGTCTAAATGTTTAAGAGATCTAGCATAAACAGACAGCCAAAATTTCTGTTAATGTTTTTTTCTTTGAAACACATGCATTTGTTATTTGCAGTATTGCAAATTTTTTTAAGTGTATATTACTCAGTCATTTAAAATAATATGAAAAACATATTATTATTTAATTCTATGTATAGTCATTACAACAATCTTAAATTATGAACTTCCTAAGTCCTAATGTACCAAAGAGTATAACTTAAAATATTTTGTATAGTTATCATACACAATAACAAAAAATAAACAGTTTTTTTTAATTTAATGGTAGTAATATTAGAGTTTTTCAATTCTTTTGCATGTTTAAATTTGGTAGTTTCTTATAAAATGCTTTATTTATATTGTCTCTTATTATAACCCGACACCCGCACCGTGAATACACTGAATAATGAGAGGTTTCATCTCTAATATTCTACATTTTCTAACAATTTGGATATTTTACATCAACCTAGATCATGGGACGAGTTGGAAGTGTCTATCAGTTAGTCTTGATACTTGTTTACCGGCAATGATTACTTAATTTCTTTACATATTGTGTGGATACAGTTGAAATTGTCTGTCTTGAAGTGTTTTGTGATCACAGACATATATATATATACATTTTATATATATATATAAATAAAATAGTTTTATCACTTGTTCCAACAATAAGAAAATGTTTAAAAATAACAAATCATATTGTTATCTTTAAATATAAAAGAATGTTGTGTTAGTTACACTATTTATAACTCATGAACGACTTTACAGATATGGTCAAAAATTTGTAAAAAGATGAATAAAAATGATGATGAAAAGAATGCGTACAAAGTCTCGGGCAAATGCTAATTATATATAATTTAAAGACTTTTTTCAGTTTTAATCAAATAAGTAAATTGAAAAATATCACATATATACTTTATACCATATTTTAAATATGAAACAAGAACTTATACAACATATATTTGTAGTGACGAAGCAAATATATATAATATCAACCATTAGGATAAAGTTATTGTTAAAATATGTTAATTTTACATATTATACCAACCTCATATTACTAGCGGTCTGCGATGGCGTCACATCGGTGTAAAGAAGCGTGATCTCCCATCCGTTTTGAGGTGTTCTTAAGAAATATATCCTCATCTTTCCATTGCTGAGCTTCCTAAACGAAATAGCCATAGGCACCATAGTGGATAAAGATGAGAGCTCTTTCCGTAGATCGTGAACCGCCTGCCTGACTTCCGACCAGCTATACTTCTTGGGAGGACGTTCATATTCCCCCGCCGCCCCATCACCAGCCTCCCTTAACTCCATTTTCAATAATTTTACACAAAAACCTCCAATCAAGACAAAAGGATTATCATCACGGCCAACAAAACACTTCTATGGACCGGTTAAATTTATGTATAAAAAACTTAATTAATATATTTCTCTAATATCATGGCTTCGTATAAAATTTTGAATTCATAATAATATGTAATTACGTGATAAAATGAATATTTGTCTAAATCGAGCCAACACACTGATTTTTGACTTTTGCCAAATGGCACAGACGTTAAAAGTTCCGCCCCACTAGTGTAACAGATATATGTTATATGTCAAACACAGCTGTTAAAAATAGTTAATAAAATCAAGAGATGTCAGTATTAGTAGTATTTTATATCTAAATTAAATAATATATATTCAATAATATTACTAAATCTGCAATATTCCAAATAATTTCATAATATATTTTTATTTTGTTTTTGATAAGGTGTATAAATACCGAAATTTATTATCTGTTTGTGTTAACGGATATGACAACATTTTATTTTCATTTTCCATTACTGCAGTTCCGGCAACAATAATTGCCGCCGAGCTGTCAATAGAGAAAAACATGTCGTTGTCGCACTGATACGTGATCCTGTTTGCTTTTTGTTCATCGTGTTTTTAAAATGGCATCTGTCTGTGTTGTATTGCGGACTTGTGGGATATTATTATTATTAATTATGCAAGTGTCAGCTAAAAATAATTTATCTGTTGAACCATGGATAGTGTCTTTGAACGTAGTGGCAAAATCTTGTGTTGATGTAAAGTGTAAATATTTATTATTAATCAACGGCAGTGAGTTTTTGGGCCACAATTCTTGGAGATTAACGTCCAAAGAGGGTTCTAGAGGCAGTCATTGTGATACTATATACCCGAATTACGAATTACACGAAGTTGAAACAACACAATGGTTTACAAAGATCAAAATATTATTACCTAAAGTAAATGAAAAAATATATATTTGTTTGAGACATAGCAAAGAAAAGAATAATCCGGTGAACGGTTTATGGATACATCAGGGCGTTGAATTATTTCTCAATCCCACCGGCGACGAAAATATATCACAAGAAATTTCAACCGACTCGTAAGTTATTTTTAAGCATCATTAACTATTATGAATGAAAAATCGTATCTAAATCAAGTTACATACATAAAAAATAAAAAAATAATATTATGTAAGGTATATAAAAATATCTGTGTACCTCACACAGGAAATATTAAACGTTTTATCATATTTTTTATATCATTAAATGATTCATTTCTTGAGGTCAGTAATGTTTCATCTATAAAAGGGTTAATTGGTTTAAGATATGTTTATATTCCCTACATACGTATAGATGAAGAATTAATATCATATATATGTATATATAATATTTGTATGTATATTTTTATATGTTTCGTGAACTAAGCCACACTTATATGATTTTTAGCAATAACTTTTTAAGCATTTTTATGGTATACATACATTATTAGTCAGTGATGGCCTAGTGGTTAAAAGGCCTGCCTCTCATGCATGAGGGCGCGGGTTCGATCATGGCAAGTACCAATGTGATTTTTTCGAGTCATATGTACTTTATAAGATTATTTAGACATCACTGATTAATGCATTCCCAAAAGAGGGTTGATGTCAGGCAGGCGGCCGGTCGTAAAAACAGATAGCCATAACTATTCACAACATGTAAAGCAGACCCTGGCTATAGATGGGAAATTGCCAGGTAGAAGATACATTATTAGTCATTATTATTATTATATATATATAGGCTTCAACTTACAGTTTGTCATGTTGTGCAATATTTTATATACATATATGAATATAGTGCGAAAGTTTCAAATTGCGTGTTTACGCCCGAATCACAATTTTGTAATAGATTAAATTCTAAGACAAGAAAAACGTAACATTAGAATACCTCATCTTCAAAGTTGGTTATATATCTTATACAAAAATTGTCGTGTCGCGGTGTTAGACAGCGAACTCCTCCGAAAGGGCTGGACCGATTTTAATGAAATTTTGTGAGCATATTGAGTAGCTTTGAGAATGGGACATTAATTTTTCATACCCCTAAGTCATAAGGGTTATTCACCCTTAATTTTTTATTTTTTATTTTTGGACGTAATTATTTGTTTTTATTTTTTTAAAATGTACCATTAAAAAATACATACAACCCAAAATTTTTTACTATTATATCACCAACCCCTATTTTTTATATGGCAAAACAACGTTTGACGGCTCAGCTAGTATATATATATATATATATATATATATATATATATATATATATATATATATATATATATATACAGGGTGACTGGTGAATTACTATCAATATTTAAGGAGAATACTCGGTACATGATTCTCATTCGAATTATGTAAAAAAAATAGGTACTTAATTTTTGACCAAATTTCCGTATAAATAAATAAAGTGTGGACACGTTCCAAGTGTGGACGCGTGCGGCGTCGTATATATATATATATATATACACATATATATGTATATTTTATCTCCAATATAATCTTTATGCCCTCTGACGTAATCCGACCAGACAGGGATTTAGTCTGATGCTGGACAATTCGTATTTTTGTCCCGAAAATTTCCCAACACTTTACGTAAGTAGGTCAAAGACTTTTGTAGTTTTATATCGTAATACACACACACACACACATAAAAACACACTTACACATATCCCTACTAATATTATAAATGCAAAAGTAACTCTGTCTGTTTGTCTGTTACGCTTTCACGCCTAAACCACTGAACTGATTTTAATGAAATTTGATACAGAGATAGAATTGACCTTGCAAAAGAACATAGGATAGTTTTTATCTCAGGCTTTTGAAAGGTTCTCTTGGAAACGCGATATAACCGAACTCTACGCAGGCGAAGCTGCGGGCGGAAAGCTAGTATACAGGCATATATGTATGATGTTTTACATAAACCATTATATATTGACATCCAATCCCTTCTTATGTAACGCATAAATATTTGCGCGTAGAAGTAAAACATCGCTAATGATTTCTGTATTTGACCGATTATAAAAGAAGTACCTAGGTTCTAAATTTTTGTATTCTCGACAAGGATTATCATATACCAATTTTTTTTACATAATTCGAATGAGAATCATGTACCGAGTATTCTCCTTAAATATTGATAGTAATTCACCAGTCACCCTGTATAACTAACTCACCCGGTAATATTTGTTTTGCCATATAAAAAATAGGGGTTAGTGATAAAAAAGTAAAAATTTTTGGGTTTTATGTATGTATTTATTATAAAAAAAAATGTATGTATTATAAAAAAATAAAAACAAAAACTGTTGTCCAAAAATTAAATAAAAGTTTTAAGAATGAACAACTCTTATTACTTAGGTGTATGAAAAATAGATAGTAGCCGATTATCAGAAATATTGAATACGTGTATAAAATTTAGTACAAAATCTGTAAAGCAATTTCAGAGTATGGTAACTAACATTGTGACTTGGAAATACATATTACTTACTAGAAGACCTGGCGAACTTCGTATCGGCCTATAATCAAGAAATATCTATTACGTTTTTTTATTTATATTTTTGGAGTTTACCTGTAAGCCATAAATCTCCGTGTTTTGAAGTGCGACAGAATGATTGACATATTAGTTAGTTGTCAAATCTAATGTCAAAAAAAAACGTTTGTATGGGAAATAGAAAAGGGCTGTTTTTATGGTTTTCCCAGTATGAATCAATTTTTTTCAGCTTTTATACCTTCCCTGAACCTCCACGAACATTTCAAGACTAAGATAAGATAAATCCGTTCAGCTGTTCTCGAGTTTTAATGAGACTAAGGAACAGCAATCCATTTTTATATATATAGAAGATTAGATATAGATCGGTTGACTGTTTTATTCGTGAAAAACATAAAACAAAAAATACGAAGTATATATGATAGGAAATTATACCCAACTAATTGATGCCCGAGACTTTGTCTACGTCTTTTAATATAAACGAAGTTTTAGTTATACGTAATAAAACGCCTTTGAACACGTAGCTCTCATAAAATGTGTTAAAACAGTAATAAGATTATGAATTAAGATATTATGTCCGTCTGTTTATATTAAAGACTAGCTGGTCCCCGCAGTGTTACCCGCGGATTTTCGGGATTTCCGGCATGTAAAGTAGCCTATGTGTTATTCCTGGACGTCAGCTTCCTGTATACAAAATTTTATCAAAATCGGTTCAGTCGTTTGAGCGTGAAGAAGTAACAAACATACACACACACTCACAAACTTTCGCAATTGTAATATTAGTAGGATTGTGAAAAAATTACCTTATAAGTCGTTAATATATAAAATACTAGAAGACCTGGCGAACTTCGTATCGCCCTATACTAAAGAAATATCAATTACGTTTTTTTATTTATATTTTTGGAGTTAACCTGTAAGCCATAAATCTCCGTGTTTTGAAGTGCGACAGAATGATTGACATATTAGTTAGTTGTCAAATCTAATGTCAAAGAAAACGTTTGTATGGGAAATAGAAAAGGGCTGTTATTATGGTTTTCCCAGTACCTAATGAATCAATTTTTTTCAGCTTTTATACCTTCCCTGAACCTCCACGAACATTTCAAGATTAAGATAAGATAAACCCGTTCAGCTGTTCTTGAGTTTTAGCGAGACTAAGGAACAGCAATCCATTTTTATATAAAGAGTAGTTTTTGCCCGCGACTTCGTCCGCGTTAATTTCGTCATTAGTAATATAGGTATAGCTGACGTGGCAAACTCTATTAAGTCTTCAATACCCCGGTATTGGTATTTATTAAATTTCTACTGTTTCAATCGAACAGAATGATTGACATATTAGGTAGTTGTCAAGTCTAATGTCAAAAAATCGTTTGTATGGGAAATAGAAAAGGGCTGTTTTTAGGATTTTCCCGGCAATTTTTCCATTTTTTCTCACCTTTTAAACCTTCCCTGGACTACCGGGAGTATCTCAAGACTAAAATTAGCCAAATCGGTTCAGCCTTTCTCGAGTTTTAGCGAGACCAAGGAACAGCAATCCATTTTTATATATATAGAAGATTTCAGCTTAAACTTTCTTCTGTCAATCTGCTTCTAATACATATACGCTGAATTATCCAATGCTAGTTACGCGGATACGCACTATCCCAGACGATATTCTATACATTTATTTATATTAACAAATTTCTTTACTAATTCTTCTATATTTATGTATGTTTTACGGTTAGAGAGTTTAACGTGAACTCCAACTGACCTTGACCTCTTACCCACTGACCCGACCTTACAACTGAAGGTCGGGCGAGCGAAACTGAAACAAAACTCAAATAACAACTGAGATAGAATAACCCTTTGCTGGTAGTTAATATAAATTAATTTATTATTATTAATCCCTAGCGGTGTGTGTTTGTGTGTGTGTGTGTGTGTGTGTGTCATCGTATCTCCTAAACCATTTCGATTGTCCTAATTCTTAGATATGTTAGCAGTGTTAAAGTATAAGCTCTTTTCCAAAATAATGGTACCGATTTTTGGTAGCGAGTGGTAATATTTTAGTGTTATGTATGAATAAAATCCAAAAGATTTTAGAGTGGATTAATAATAATTAATATTTTTGTATATAAAAGAATTATATATAAAAGAAAGTCGTGTTAGTTACACTATTTATAACTCAAGAACGACTGTACGGATATGGTTGGAAATTGGTGGAGAGATATATGTATTAGAACCAGTTAAAGGACATAGGATACAATTCTGATACTTACGCAGACGTAGTCGAAGGCAAAAACTAGTATTTAATATTATTATAGTAATTTTATTGAGCTTTAATAACTTCTTGTTAAATATATTTATCCATATTCATATTGCCGGTGGAATTGACATGGAAAATTATCTCAAACATATGATAAACTGCGAAAACGTTTCCATATCCCTTTAACCTTACTCCAAGTTTGAAACACTACACACGTAGCAATCACCTTTAATAATGTTTCCCTACTAATATTATAAATGCGAAAGTAACTCTGTCTGTCTGTCTATTACGCTTTCACGCCTAAACCACTGAACTGATTTTAATGAAATTTTGTACAGACATAGAGTTGAC